ATTAATTAAGTTATATGTCAGGCATTGTACCAGGCATCAGGAGGAAGGGAGTGGGATAAAGCTCTGAGAAAGACCCTGCCCTCAAAAAGCTTCCAATCTCATAGCAACACCTACAGACACTTCTAAACCAACAGACAGATGGAGACAACTGCTACAGTGCAGACACCAGCTCTGTTCAGAGATCAGCAGCTGCTTGTCAAGTATTTATAGGAGTTATTAATATAGACAGAACTGACAGCCACCTCTTTCTTGGGATTTCTAGTCCTCCCCCTCCTTTTCCCTGATGCCTGAACTGTCTAGGGACAAAGCCTTTCAAACCATTATTTTTGAATGAATTGAGGTAATTCATTGTGGGTGTTGAACTGGTACAACTCCTATGGAAGGCAATTTAGCATTATTCAAATTACAAATGCGTTTGCCCTTTGACCTTGCAATATATATAGTGTAGGACTATATCTTGCAGATATACTCACCCATGTGGAAAATGCTCTATATACAAGGTTATATTTATTACTGCATTGTTTGAAATAGCAAATAATTTGGAACAACTTAAAAATCATAGACAGGGTTAGATTATGGAACAGTCATTCATACAGTGAATCCCAGATCAAGGCAGTGCTTGATCTATGAACAGATCTCTGTATGAAAAGATTCCTCACATGTATTGTTGAGTGAAAAAATCCTAAGTGCAAAATAGTTACAGTAGACGACCATTCGTGTTTTAGAAGGGAAGAACACATATCTACAAATTTGCTTGTGTACCTAATAGTTAACAAGCGTTAGGCACTCCTGTAGCTGTCTACACAGACCAGATTAGGTACTTTTGAGAGGCACTGTGCTGAGTATTTTCATGTACACAGTCTCATCATAATCCTCGGGCATCACAGAAGAGGAAGCTGAGGGTGAGAGTTGTTCTTGTCTAAAGTCAACTGCAATGTCCAGGCCCCGCCATCCTGGACTAGGCCTGGATCTGGGCCCTAGGGATATCACGACAAAGATATAGCCCCTGCCTTCTTGGACGTACTACTCCAGTGAGGGAGCCAAGTGTGTGAAACGGCAGCTTCACAGACAGCATCTGAACAGGGAGGGGAGTGTTAGAGCACAATGTTAGGGGACAAAGGGAACAGAGAGGCTGGGGACAAGGAGAAAGCCTCTCCCACGGCACCCTTCTGCCAAGGACAGGCCCTGTAAGCGAGGTGGAGCGGGTGCCTATGTGGGAGACAACCCCTGCAGCCTCAGCACCAACAATGGACAAAGGCTGCCGGTGCTCCGTAAGAACAGAGGAGATCTGACAACCGCCCCGGCGCGACTGATCCGTGTAGACATCCCTTCTGGACTTTGAAGCCTGAAGTGCTCCCCTGTAGCTGTCTACACAGATCAAATAAGCTGGATGGCTGCCCTATCTTGACTTCACTCTGTGCTGATCCAGTTCCAGCCAGCTCCAGTGCAATCCGACCAAACCATCTGAGCAGAGGCAAAAGCAATTCTCATGGGGAAGGAGAGACAGAGCCAAGATGTGAGCATTAACTTTGTGCTGCCACTTCAGGGGGGACTGGGTTTTGAGTTAGTTTTAGGAAGCGTCCAAGAAGGGAGCTCTGTCCCTCTCCATGGTGAAGTGGCAAAACTGTTTTGTCTCCTTATAGTTGACAGCCCTTCCTATTCCAGGGCTCATATATGAACACCCCTAAGAGCTAACAATAGATAGCTCTGATCTGGCTCTCAGAAAGACAACCCTACCCTAAAAACAGGCATCGTCCCACTGCACCAGCACATTTTTATTCTTGGGATCATTCTAGGGAAAACCTTATCCCAGCCTCCTCAGTCCCCAAGCAACAGCGAGGCTCTCCGGAAATCCTTGTCACCAAACTGGCAGGACCAGGCATCTAACAACAAACCCAGAAGCTAAGTGGCATCGTTAACAAGGATTAGAAATCTACATGAGTTCTGACATCTTCTTGCTAGCTATGGTTTCCATGGAAATAGACATCTGCTCTAAGGAGAAAGAAAAGGTGGGGGGAAGCGTTGTAAATGCTTTAAAATAATCAGTGTTTTGAAAGATTAATTTTTTTCCTGTCACAACATTAATAGTCAGAAATGTGAGATTTTTTGCGTGGCAATTTCTTTCCTTTTCCTTTTTTAATGCAGCAAATGGGTGGGACCTTCCTCTGGAAACCTCCAGATCAAGTACAAAGACTTCAAGATAAAGGGTGGTTCCGGGGATAATAGAACTCTTGGTCTTGGGTTCCTTGCTCGGTTGTGTTGCCTGCCAATCTGTCGCTTCAGGGAGGTCGAGTCCTCACCTCTCTCCAGCTTTTCTAACGATTTCTGAAATTTCACTCAGAAAACTGAAAAAGATGGAAACACCTGGCTGTTTCGTGGCCAAGTTTGGTCTGAGAAGGAGAAGCCTTTCAGGGCTGAGAATCTGAGTGATTTCTGGTCCTGCTCACATGCTAAGGGAAAACCACTTAGATTGGGGGCAGGGGAAAGGCTGACCCCACAGAAGGGCAATTGTTGTAGAAAATGCAGCAACAAGCATATTTCAGGCCACAGTACATTGCTTACTGTTTGCTTTGTGTGGTGTGTCTGCTGCCTGTATGATCCAGTTTTCCTTGTCTTGGCACCGATTCACTGCATTTATCTCTAGCACATCTTTAGTGACTAGCAGGACATGGAGAGTCTTTTAAAATTAGGATTGTTGTTTCAGCAGAGTTGGACATATTTGTTTCTGGGTTTGGGGAAAGGGAGCCCATTGATTAATAAAATGAAGGTATTCTTCTACCCAGTTAGGATGTCAAAGCAGGTGCATTAGTGTAATGACCACTACCTGAGGACACAGCCTTGATCAGGGGAATGGGAGGAGGGGCCTGAGAACCATATTCATTTTATTTTTTCCCCTCGGGCCTTTTTGTGGGAAGAGGGAGGCCAATCATTCTAATCCGATAGCCAGGGTCAGACCAATTTCCTTTGTACCTCTGCTGTGCTTGGATCTATCCGGGCGTGGAGGAATAGTGACCTTGTGGCTCCTTTTGTTTTAAATTTTTTTAAAAAAAGGCCCTGCATCGCTCTGGGGAGCACGTGCTCCGAGAACAAAAGCAACACGTAAGGGCAGTTTGTGTAACTGCTTTTGCTCTTCCTTCTCTATCATCTGGCCAAAGGCAGGCAGAACAGATGGAGTCTGCATTTAAGCCAAGTGACTGTTAGACCAAGGAGATCAAATTCCAGAGCTTTTGGTCTAAGTCACTCACACTCTCCCTCCTCAGCTCTGATCGCCAGTTTGGGGACCCGTAGGATGGTAGCGAGAACGCACACAGTGAGGAAAGGGCCACGCCCGTGATCTGTTAGGGCGGAGTGGTTTAGGGATTACGATGATGTCACAATACAGGTGATACGCAGGTGCCAAGGTACGGCCTCGGGTGCAGGGGGCCTTTCCAAGGGTCGTAGAGTGGCATTGTCCTGTCACAAGGGCTTGGGCATCTTAGGTAGAGGCACCGGATGGGACACCGTTGGGGCACTGCGCCATCTGAGTATTGTCCTTTCGACGAAGCGGAGCAAGTAGCCCAACCGAGGCGGAGTCCAGGCAGCCACCCTCGGAGAGGTGCGGAGGGACCCCGCCCCACCCCGCCCCGCCCCGTCCTGCCCTTTTCCCAGGGATGGGAGAGCTGGTTCAGATCCAGACCAAGGGCCATGTCCTTTTCCGCCGCTAGACAACCGCCTGGGTCCCCGGTTTACACCTGGGGGGACCCCTAAACGCCCCCACCCCTCGCATTGTCCTCCTGCCAAGCCAGCCTGGACTACATTTCCCGAGGTGCTCCGGGGCCCACAGGGGCGGGGTCCACTGCGCTGTCGGGGGAAGGGGTCGGCACGTGCCGCCCCTCTCAGCCAATGCAGAGCCCTCCGGGGAGGTCACGTGCCGCTGTTTGGCGCTTTTGTGCGCGCTCGGGTCTGTTGGTGCTCAGTGCGGCCAGGCGGCTCGGACCGGGCAGGTGGGTCTGGGCTTCTTGGAGGAGCCTGCAGGCAGCCAGGGGGACGGGATGGACAGGATGGGCTGCGTCTTCGAGTCGGCTCCCAGCTGGGAGACGGCGGGCGCGGCCGCGGGCCCCTGAGGGGCTGATGGGTGGGGGTCGCTGCGCTTTGTGTGTGGCTCGGGCGGAGCCTGGGCATTGTCCCCACTATCTGGGGGCGCGGCTGCCGTGGGGAAGGGGCGCGGCCAGCTGGGCAAGCCTCCGGCGTTAGCCCCCGGGTGCTGTCGAGGAGACAATAGGGGGCGTGGGTCCCCGTTTGCCTCCCTCCCTCCTACTCCAGTCGTGGCCCCGCTGGGGTCCCCATTGTCTGAAGGGCCAGGGAGGCGCCTCCTGGCAGCAGCGCCCTTAGGGCCAGACTGCGCCACGCTGGGGCTGCGCCCGCTCCCCGCGATGGTCTTCACCCAGCGACTGTGGGGCCGCGCCCGAGAGGCTAACACCCCACGGAGACTCCTGCCCTGGCGATGCGGGGCGCGGACAGCCAGGGTGGCAGTGGGTTGGGTGGGAGCGCAGGGAGGTGGTGGTGAGCGGGTGTGGAGGCTGGCCCACGGCCCGCTCCCGAGCCGCGGCTGGGTGGGGGGTGGCTTCAAGGTGATTTTGGCGGGAGTGGGGGGGGCGTCCACGGGGAGAAGCCCGGGGTGGGCGGAGTCATCCGATAGGACCGTTAGTCCCGCCCACCCCTCCCCTTTCCACGCTCGCGGGCTCCTGGGTGTTGTGAGTTCGGATTCGAAAAGGCGCGGGGAGGAAGGGGGCGGGGCCAGGGGCCGGAGCATTGAGCGTGTTCTGATTGGTCGGGGGCCGCTTTCGGGCCAGGGCCACGCCCATCCTGGGGGCCGCTGCTGCGTTCAATGCTCTGCTAATGTTAGAGCATTTCTCTGCCTCTGATTTTAATTTCCAGCCGGTAGGGACCTGTAATCTTAGGTTTTTGATACTAGCGTAGGGCCTAGAAGAATCATGACCTTAAAAAAATCAAGATAGGATGTAGAATTTTTCGTGACATAAGGCAACAAATAGAACGTAAAACGTAGATATTGATAAAACTAATTTTGCCCGTTGTTGGACAAGGAGCTTAAGCCCCAAGAACAATAGGAGTTCAACATTACTGGCTAATATTAGCCTGGGCGTTTTGTTTTCCACCACGGCAGACATAGACAAAGCAGGGGTGGGTATTTCATTTGCACAATGAGTCGTGGGCACTATTAAGATGGCTCCGGTCTTACTGTTGAGTGAACTACAACCAACGTTCTATTCAGTTGAAATTTCCCAATGGTTGGTATTTTTTGAGATTTCCATAATTTCTAGTTAATGATGTCTTACTTAATTCCACGATAGTGATTTTTTCTGACATTGATTAATGTGGATGTGATTTGAGGTCCCCAAGGGATTGCTGATATATAGAAATGCAAAGAAATTGATTGCATGCTTTTGAAAATCATTTTCAGGGCTTTCCTTGCCAGTGGATTGTGTAGAATATATTGCCAGGCTCTTGTCTTCTGTTCACCATGGCTTCTTCTGGTAGGTAAACGATTTGGGAAAACGGAAATTGTGATGGGCTTATGGTTTAAGAATAGGAGGTGGCTTAAGTCTTAGCCATTAATTTGGTACCTGTGTTTTGGTTTTATAAAGAATATATTTTATAAATTGGAGAATAATTAAAGAAGAAAAAATGGCTATCATTTGAACGTACGGAGAGCTTATAATTAATTGTTTCATTATTAGACGATTTGGCTTGCTCTGAAGCAAAATGTGGAGTTTTGCACAAGTCTTTCTTTTGTTCATGAAAGTGATTGTCAATACTGATATAGCAAAATGGTATTTATTAATCAGAAAATGCTGAACTTTGTTTTTTGGGGACGTGGTATTTACATAATTTCTTGCTTGCAAACACAGCTTCATTAGCCCTAATTCTATTCATTACATTGATTTGGCTTTTAGAAAATTATAGAACAGTTTATTAGAATAGGAAAGCCCTGTTTTTCTGAATACATTATAAATACGATCAAATCCAGATATCCAGGTGAAAGAATTGGAGAAGCGTGCTTCAGGCCAGGCTTTTGAGCTGATTCTCAGCCCTCGATCAAAAGAATCCGTCCCAGAATTCCCCCTTTCCCCTCCAAAGAAGAAGGATCTTTCCCTGGAGGAAATTCAGAAGAAATTAGAAGCTGCAGAAGAAAGACGCAAGGTAAACATCACAATTCACAGAAAATGGTATTTATTAAAGTAATGTGGCAAATCAGTTTTATTTCCACAACAGGAGGAAAACAGAATTGTAGCTAGACAGTGGTTATACTTACGTGAAAATTACGTAATGCCAGTGGCTGGAGGAAAACACCAACCATCATTTATTGAGCTCCTATTATACACCAACTTATTTACTTATATTTTTCTCTTTTAATACAGTGACTCTAAAAGGGTAGGTGATAGATACCAAGCTTAGAAAATGGTCTTGAGAATGTTGTCATTCCCTAAGTCATATAGCCCGTGAGTATTGGAGCCAGAATTCAAGCCCAGGTCTGTCTGAAACCAGAGTTCATGCTTCTCATGCTTTTTCTTTGAAAAGGAATTGGTGGATGACTCTTTTTCTGTCTTTTTAGATTTGGGGGGTTTCTTTTGATTTGTGTGTGTGCCTGTGTAGTATTTTTGTTTTTGTTTCCTTGAGAACTATACAATAAAAACTTCAGCCCTGGCTGGTTTGGCTCAGTGGATAGAGCGTCAGCCTGCGAACTGAAGGGTCCCAGGTTCGATTACCGGTCAGGGCACATGCCCAGGTTTTAGGCTCAATCCCCAGTGGGGGGCGTGTGGGAGGCAGCCGATCCATGATTCTCTCTTGTCATTGATGTTTCTGTCTCTCTTTTCCCTCTCCCTTCCTCTCTGAAATCAATTAAAAAAAAAAGAAAGAAAGAAAAAGAAAAAACATTTTAAATTGCTAGTAGTGTGATTTTGTTGCTCAGCTGGCATTCTGGTATTGTGGCAGCTTTTCTCTTATGTAAGCTATTCTATTTAAAGTAGACATCTTTAAAAATAACTAATCAGAAAAATCAATAAGCATTAATATGCTTGTTATAGAAAAATTGGGAAACCCAGAAGTTTATAAATACGAAATTGATTATTTATTATCTTACTTCCTAGAAATAACCATTAACATGTTGGAATATTTCCTTCCATTCAACATTATTCTATTAATCGAGAATTTTACATAAATTCTCATTTAGTCCCCCTTACCAATAACCCTGATTGGGGTTAATGGGTTTAATTTTGAAATTAGGAAAACTAAATCAGAAAAAGGTAAAGTAATAACCTGCCCCCATCAACACAGCAAGTGCAATTTAAGTCCAATACAATACATGTAACCACACACGTCCACATATAGGCCCCTTTTTAAGCTTCTGTAGCATGTGCTGTGCACTTTTCAGTGCCACAGTTGAATGCACGTACACTAGCCCACTATCAACACTGCAAAGCCTTTCCCCAGGAAGATGGCAGTGTGTGCAGTGATGCATCGCCCCCTACCTGCTCTCCTCTGTCGTTTGTGTTCATGGAAGAAATGCAGCCTAAAGCTGGACAGAGAAGCATTGAGAAATCCCCCGTGGCCCTGTAGCCATTAGCCTGTGTTTTATGATTGGGATTTTGCAAAAGAGAATTAACAGAACCAGTGGCAGATGCTCTGTAGTTTTCCTGCAAGTCAGTGCTTCCAAACACATCGGAGTCTGTTTGGTAACAAGCTATTCTGAGTCTGTTGAAGGAGGCACACCATGGTAGTCAAGCTCCAGGGGTCTGGAAGTTAGTGCAGCTTCCACAGAGGAAAGCTTTTCTTTGAGACAGAAATCCTTTTGGCTTAAATAGTAATCTGGAGGCTTAAAATTTCTGTCATTCATGTATTTTATCAGTATGGTTACACTTTTTATAATGAGCTAATTTTCTCTGGATAGCCTTTGAAGTTAAAGAACAAAATTCTTTATAATAAAGTTCCATTTTTTTGCCCTAACTGGTTTGGCTCAGTGGATAGAGCATTAGCCTGCGGACTCAAGGGTCCCGGGTTCGATTCCGGTCAAGGGCATGTACCTTGGTTGCAAGCACATCCCCAGTGGAGGGTGTGCAGGAGGCAACTGATCGATGTTTCTCTCTCATCTATGTTTCTAACTCTCTATCCCTCTCCCTTCCTCTCTGTAAAAAATCAATAAAATATATTTTAAAAAATAAATAAATAAAGTTCCATTTTTAAGTGCATCTCACTCAAGTCATCTTGATACCATTAAGCAGTAAATTTTATAAGGATTTCCTTAAGGAGTAATTGGATAAGGTTCTCTGAGCAAACAGTTTGCCAAAGTAAACACAAACACTAGAAAATGATGTTCATAATATTTAGATACAGATAATCCAGGGCCCGCTTCAGTGTTATCTGAAGAGATCTCATGTTCTGCCTTTAGTCCCATGAAGCTGAGGTCTTGAAGCAGCTTGCTGAGAAACGAGAGCACGAGAAAGAAGTGCTTCAGAAAGCAATCGAAGAGAACAACAACTTCAGTAAAATGGCAGAGGAGAAGCTGACCCACAAAATGGAAGCCAACAAGGAGAACCGCGAGGCACAGATGGCTGCCAAACTGGAGCGTTTGCGAGAGAAGGTGGGTGTCTCCGCCTTGAAGGAGGCTTGAAGTTTCATGTACCAGTGAACTGGCTTCCACTAATGGCCTTGATCAAAGGTGTTTGGCATCTTTGTCATCAATTTGGGGGCTTAACATGTTAAATGAGAGGTGTCCTTCCTGCACTGGTGCCATTTGGGGGCTCAGCCCATCTGGTTTTCCAGATGACCTAATAAATTCATGCTTCTTTACCAAAAAAATAAAATAAAATAAAAACATAAATGAGAGGTATCTTGTTTCAAAATAAGATGGAATAGCCCTAGCTGGTTTGGCTCAGTGGGTAGAGCATCAGCCTGAGGACTGAAGGGTCCAGGTTTCGATTCCAGTCAAGGGCAACATGCCTGATTGTGGTCTCAATCCCCAGGAGAGAGGCATGGCAATACCTCTGCCATTGATGTTTCCCTCTCTCTCCCTCTCCCTTCCTCTCTGAAATAAAAATATATTTTTTAAAAATGAAATCAATTAAAAAAAATAAGATGGAATATTCAACAATTTCCAGCATAATAGCACTTTCTTTGGAAGAACAGTAGGAGGCTCAATCATTAGATTCCTCGGATGATCCAGGAAGTTTGAAGATTATGTCTTAGAACTCTTAATTATGTGATTCACATAATATAATTATATAGTAGTCCTCCCTCATCTGTGTGGGCTGTGTTCCAAGACCCCCAATGGATGCCTAAAACCACGGATAGTAGCAAACTCTGAATGTATACACTGTTTTTCCCTGTGCATACTTGCCTGTGATAACGTTTACGGCTTCTCTTTGGCATATCCACATTGCCAGCATTACTACTCTTGTATTTTCAGGTCATTAAGTAAAAGAAGGGTTACGTGAACATAGATACTGTGATATCGTGACAATTGATTTGATAACTGAGACAGCTACTAAATGACTTAATAGGCAGGTAGTACAATGTGAATACACTGGGCAAAGGGATGATTTTATCCTGGCAGGACAAGCGAGACAGCATGAGAATTCATCATGCCATTCAGAAGGACATATAATTTAAAACTTTATGAAATGTTTATTTCTGGAGTTTTCCATTTAACATTTTCATACTGCAGTTGCCCGCAGTTAACTGAAACCATGAAAAGCAAAACCGAGGAAATGGGTGACTACTATATTTATAATATTATTATATAATAAACGTACTGACACTGTGTTGGGCCTCTTCAGGCGGTGTGACTTGGCAGGCTGCTTTATTTGACTGATGATATATACTGTTTCTTTACAGGACAAGCACATTGAAGAAGTGCGGAAGAACAAAGAATCCAAAGATCCTGCTGACGAGACTGAAGCTGACTAATTTGTTTTGAGAACTGATTTTCTCCCCCTCCCCTTCCTAAATATCCAAAGACTGTACTGGCCAGTGTCATTTTATTTTTGCCCTCCTGACAAATATTCTAGAAGCTGATGTAGGACCATAGGTAGATCCAAATTGTATGATGTTGTTTTAGGGGTTAAAGGGGAGAAACTGAAAGTGTTTTACTCTTTTTCTAAAGTGTTGAGGTCTTTCTAATGTAGCTATTTTTCTTGTTGTACCTTTTCTACTTCAGTACACTTGGTGTGCTGGGTCAATGGCTAGTACTGTTTTGGCTCTGTGAAAACATGTTTGTGAAAAGAGTATGTAGTGGCTTCTTTTAAATTGTTAGATGCTGAATATCTGTTCACTTTTAAATCCCAATTCTGTCCCGATCTTACCAGATGCTACTGTACTTGAATGGTTAATAAAACTGCACAGTGCTGTTAGTGGCAGTGACTTATTTCGACCCAGGTAATAAATGGTCCAGTGATGGAGACCCTCCTAGCTTCTGTTGTGCTGGGTGGGGCCTTTGGGCTGGCGGGAATACCCATCCTGCAAGTTCTCTGCCCTGAGACTTTTGCACCAGAGTTGTTTGCATTGTCTTCTTCCACAATCGTCACTTTGTTGTCATGCTGTGGCCCAGATCAGCTGTTACATAGTCTTTCTGATGTTTATTTGCAAACAAGCGTTTTTTTGTTTCTGTGTCCCTGTTAAAAAGGCAGACTTCAAGCCATAAATGATGTTTCTAGAGAATAGTTTAGAGGAAATCTTTAGATCCTAGTTAAAGGTATTTGACAGTTTGCTTGGTGTTACAGTTGGGGATGGGGTGCATATTAACCGTTTCCTGCTATGGAACCTGTGACTCAAGAATTGGAACATTCATAAAACTTTCTGTGCCCCTGTGGCAACTCCCGTGACGTGATTAAAGGGAACCGCATTCCCGGGAGCAGCATTTGACTTGGGTGCTTAAGATTGGCAGTTACTTCATCTTGTATCCAGAGGCTGTGTGATACTGTTGTCAGAGCACTGCCTCTCAGTTCAGGGAAAGCCTTTGGCAGCTTTCCCAGGGTATTTGGGAAAGAGCCTTAATTCCATATGATTATTTGCTTCTCAGCCATCTGTGCACCAGCTCTTGGGAGCCAGCACCTATGGTGAGGAGGGCTAATGCTGCAGTCAGGTCTGCATGCCTCCAAGAGTGCCCTGCAGCTCTGCCTTTATCTTGATGAGGGTTTTACCAAACTTAGAAGGATAACAGCTTCTCTCAGTCTTCCTCTATGTTAGGATTAAGTGAGTTGGTATATGTAAAGAGAGCACGCTTAGAACTACTTAGTACATATTTAGCACGACTCATAAAAAAGTACTATTTTTGTCCAGAGGCCAGTGAGTGAAGCTAAGTTTATACTTGGAATTAGAAATGATTCTGCAGCTTTTGTGTACCTTGTACTGACTTATATATTTACTTAGACCAAAATGATTAATTATAGAAATTCAAAATAAAAATGAATTTAAAGAGTTAAGGCCATGTAGAGCCAAAAGGAGCAAGATCAAGTGTAGTTTAGTAACACAGTGGGTCAGGCAGTGTCTAAATAGAGGTCAAGGTGAGGCTTGTGTGCAGGAACGCGGATCCTCAGTCTCTGGCACTTAGTAGGTGTTAGAGGTTTGCCTGGGTCAGATGGTGGGTGGAACCTTTAGAACAAATTCTGAGTAGCTGGGATATAAAGATGGCCCAAAGGTAGAAGTTCGGAGTAATGATACAAGGTGTCCTGTAGATGGCAGTAAGCTTTTGTTTATGTAGGGCTCAGAAGGGAAAAGCAAGAAAGGGATCAAGCTGGATCCTTTTAGTTGCAACCAGCCGAGGTGGCCCTGACAGTATCAGAAAGTGGTCCTCCGCTCCCACCTCATGACAATGATGTCAGACTAAAGGGTGTGCATCTTACCCACAAACTCAGAAGCCCTGCTTTTCTGTTTCACTCTGACCTTGGAGATACACTTAGTCCTGGGCCTAGTTTTCTCCTGGATAAAACAGAAGGTTGAGCTAGGTTAGTTACCTACCTTCCACTCCAAAATTCTTTGCATATAATTTGGAGGGAAGGAGGAATGGTGGGTGCCCAGGGGTTCTCTCCTGGCCTCAGCGTGTGCCTCTCTCCCAGCAGGGCCTCTCCGAGGAGCACACTCCTCTCCCTTTGGTTTGAGTGGAAAATAAGGCTTGTTCCTTCTTTCTGAAGCTTTTGCACTTGAACATGGTGGTTGCGTGACCTCGGTGGACAAGAAGTTTGAGGGATGTGAAGAAGCCCTTAAATCTACATTTAACAAACACCTAGAATGTGGACCACATTGGACTACGTGCTAGCAATGGAGAGATGAAATGGGGTCCCAGCGTATGGTGTGCTTCTGCGGGAAGGAGGAGAGTTTACAGCAGCTAAGAACACTGTTCTGGACCCTGTGCTCGTACTAACCAAGGGGCTTTAGTGGTTTGGTGGCGGGAGTAACCTGCTATTCTGGAGAAGAGAGGTTTTGGCCCTGACCCACCAGACCTTTAGGAAGGTTTCCTCTCTGCTCTGGGTGCTGTTTTCCCAGCGGAGAGTCCCGATTTCCAGGGCTGTTTTAGCACCCCTTGTGCGTCTGTCCTTCCGGGAACAATTTGGCTACCCAACTACGTAATGCAGTTGTCCGGGTCCCTGTTAAACATTCACTTACGAGCAATACGAAGGTGAAGGCCTGGCTCCCCAGAAAAGGGCTCCCCCTTTGGGCAGGAGGTTACATTCGGTGCCCTGAAGATCCCCTCCAAATCCAAGCCTAGTTCTGGGTCCTCTCTACCTGGTTAGATTGCAGACCCCTGAGGTCAGGGGCCATTCAGGATCCACCCACTGAGGTGAACTCCAAGGCCCCAGAAACTGCTGCTACTTCAGTCTCCTGCCACCTCCTCACTCTTCTCTCAGGTCAAACAGAAGGTCCACAGTGTCCCTGCGTCTGAGGCCTCTGCCAGCAGAAGCTGGTATTGTGCACTGAAAGGGCCGGGGAGGGCGTGCTGACTTGTTTTGTGCACACCCAGATTTTAAAAACTTAACTGTAGGATTTGGTGAGCTCCAAAAGGGAGGACTCAGAAGGGAAAAGCGCTCTGGGAAAAGCAAGCGTGGTCCAGAGTGGTACCTTCCCTGTCCTTGGGCACCAAGTCCAACGAGGACAAGTGCCCAGGAGGACAAGTGGGCTGTGAAATGGGTCCAAGTGAAGAAGCTACAGGTGGGAGATTAGCCAAATCCCCGCGGCCACAGCAGAATGGTGGGTGTGAGGGGCACTGAGCCTCTGGGCGCAGGCGGCCTCGGGCCCAGGCTTCCATCCTGTGGCCTTCCGCCCCCCTTACTGGCAAGAAGCCCCAGTATCCCTGGGATTGGGGCGGGCTTGGGGCTCCCAGCGAAGCTAGACACCCCTTTTACGTGCTCTCACAGCTCTCTACAGCATTATAATTCAGCATGTGCATACGCGATTGCATGCTGACCACCAAAAATCTAGTTTCCTTCTGTTACCACATATTTAACCCCTTTTCTCCAATTTTCCCTACCCTTACCCCATCCCCTCCGACTATTTAAAGGAAACTCTATACTCTTTTCCTGAGTGACTGCGTTAATTTACATCCCAATGGTGCCTGAGGGCTCCCTTTCCTTCACATTCTCTCCAGCACTTATTTATTATCTTTTTTAATAATAGCCATTCTAACAGGTGTGAGGTGGTATCTCATTGTGGTTTTGATTGGCATTTCCCTAATAATTAGTGATGTTGAGCATCTTTTCACATGCATGTTAGCCTTCTGTATGTCTTCCTTGGAAAAATGTCTATTCACATCCTCTGCCATTTTAAAATCAGATTGCTTTGTTGTTGAATTGTGTAAGTTCTTTATATATTGTGGATATTAATTCCTTATGGTAAGTATCATTTGTAAAAATCTCTCATTCAGTAGGTTGCCTTCTCGTTTTGATGGTTTCCTTTGCTGTGCAGAAGCTTTTGAGTTTGATGTAATCCCATTTGTTTATTGTTGCTTTTGTTTCCCTTGCCTTTGGGGTCAAATTCACAAAAGCAACATTGAGACCAAGGTCCAGAAGCTTAGTGCCTATATGTTTTCTTCCGTGCATTGTTTCAGGGCTTATGCTCACATCTTTAGTCCATATGGAGTTAATTTTTGCATATGGTGTCAAATAGCAGTCTAGTTTTATTCTTTTGCATGTGGCGTTCCAATTCTCCCAACACCATTTACTGAAGAGACTTTCCCCATTGCATATTCTTGGCTCCTTTGTCATAAGTTAGTTGCCCATATATGTGTGGGTTTATTTCTGGGTTCTCAGTTCTATTCCTGTGTGTCTTTTTCTGCCAATACTATACTGTTTCGACTACTGTAGCTTTGTAGTATAGTTTGAAATCAGGGAGTGTGCTACCTCCAGATTTGTTCTTTTTTTCCTCAGGATTGCTTTGACTATTTGGGGTCTTTGTGTCAAACCCAAACTTGTAACTCCCATGCTATACTGCCGCCCATCACGTATCACAAATGAATGAACTATTATGCAATTACTGGTTTGAAGTGTGTCTCCCTAGCTGGACCAGAGGGTCCCCCAGAACAGGGACTGTGCCTGTCACGTTCACCACTGGATCTGGCACTTGGTGGGAGGTTAAGAAATATGTATCCAACAAAATGTCCGAGTGGGTGGGTGAGCCCTGTGGTCCACCTCTAGGCACTGGCTTTGCCCTCGTTCTTTGTGGACCTCATGGGGAGTCAACCCGTTTTCCTGGAAGCGGAGGATGGCTCTGCTCTGGCTTTGCAGACTTGCCTCGGAGGTGCCCAGTCCTGGCAACCTAGATCTAAAGGCACCAACTGGTGGCCTGCGGCCGGAGTCAGTCCACCGGCATGTTGTGTTCAGCTCCTGTTGTGTTTTACATTTTTGAATTAGTTGATCATGAATTCCTCTTGAAAATCTAATTTCAGGCTTATCTTGAAAAACCGGAAGATCTGGCAACACAGGGCTCACTTTCCTACCTGGACACAATCAGCAGGCGCTGGGCAGCTGCTGCCCCCTTGAGGTGGGATGTGCACTCTACAGCTCTCCATTCCTCTGGACCACCCACTTCTGTTCTTTAAGGACTGTGGGCGCCTCCCTGCTGTAGGCCTAGAGTTTGCAGTAACTGACATAGATGGCAGCCACTTCATCAGTCAGTCCAACTATTTTTAGGTCCAAAGTCAGTAGAAAAGATGTAATAAACAGTAAACAGTATAATAAGTGACTCCTCCCTCTGACACCCCCAATTCCTCTTCCACAGACACGCTGCACCTCTGAGCTGCAGTCATTGTCACCTCTCACGGGCCAGACCCCACCTGGGCACCAGAGTCACATGGCACTTTATCAAAATTCAGAGACTCAGGACCCTCGTCTCACCTTTGAAGGTAGAATTTCTAAAATTG